CCTTCCCAACCAGTCTAAGCCACACCGTCTCACCTCTGTCCAACCAATGATTCATGTACTTTTCTGAAGGTGCAGAAAGCAGTAAACTTTACTCCTAAACAATTCAGCAAGCAAGCATATCACTACTTATACTTCATATTAAACTTTGTATATAATCACATGCATACATCTTAAATGTACCATTCAATAAATTTTGCCAAATGTACACAGTCATGTCACTCAAACTTCTATCTAGAGGTAGAGTATCATCTTCACCCCAGAAAGTCTTTCATCCTCCTTCTTAGTTAATTCCCCACCACTAGTCTAAGATTTCTCGCTACTAATTTTACCTAATGGGCTCCATGTGCATGGTATAAAGATGAAATCCTTTATGTAAAGATTTCCATACTCAAGATAATGATTTTGTGATTCATCCATGTTGTTTTGAATAAAGGAGGTAGCTACTTTTCATTGTTGGGGATCCTGCTTTATTGGAATTCATTGATTTTTTTTCTACCATTTTCTTCTTAGGTACCAAGCTGTTTCCAGTCTTCAGTTATTCTAAATAAGTGTACTATGAAAACTCTTGTAAAGATCTATTTGTGAATGTTTTCATTTCTACTGGGCAAATATTTAGAAATGGAATTGCCATGTCATACATATATGTTTAGTTTTATAAGAAACTTCCAGAACTTTTCTTCAAGGAGTTGTACCAATTTCTGTTTTATTTCATTTTACTTTGTTTTTTTGAGACAGAGTCTTGCTATGTATTTCTGACCTTGAAATCACTATGTAGGCCAGTCTGGCCTTAAATTCATGGCAATCCTCTTACCTCAGCATTTCAAGTTCTGGGATTACAGGTGTAAGCCACCACGCCTACTTAGGAACTGTACCAATTCTCACTTCCACCAATGATGTATGAGAGTTTGTATTGTTCCATATTTGGTGTTATCCGTAATCAGGATTTTAACCATTCTGCCAGGTCTTTATCATATTACTCTTTGAATTACAAAACAAGAATATTCACAACTGAAAGTTTCCATTTTTAAAAGGTAACTGAGGCAATATCTGTTTTCATGTCCTCCCATTACTATAGCTGTCTCAGTTCCTAAAGCTGGTGATTGAAAGGAGATTCATAATTTGGTGGTTACTTTAAATGCTTTTGGACCCAATTTGAGTGATGAAATTTTGTTGAGATCAATTTTGGAGTTTTTTGTCCATAAACACGAAGGCTTTGAAATTAATCAAAATCATCAGGTTGGCTCTTGATCTATACTCAATAAAAAAAAATAAAAATTCATAACCTAGTCACTAACTCATAAAGTCTCTGACTGAATTAAATGAGCATCATCTGAGGGTGACTCCCATAGACCAAACTTAGATTAATAAGAGTAGATGATTTTAGAGTAAGCATACATAATGTAGTAGAGTTACTTCTACATTAAATTGTCTTTAGGTTCTGGAGGAAGTCCACATGTCTAATTTTATTTTAATGTACGTGTTTCCTGAGGTCTTGTAATTTATCCTTAAGAAATTTCAAAAGCATTCAAACTGCTATTTTTTCCCTTGTTCCCAGGCTCCACATTCCAGTTCTCATTCACTTGTCATGAAAATAACCTAAATGCACCTAATGCTGTTCAAAAGTAGTTTTTAGTTCACTATTCATAAAATTAGACATGTTACAGCCCATTGAACAATTTTTCTTTTAACCGCTTTTAATAATCAATAACAGAAACATTTTAAAATGGGAGGCATTTTGATTACTCTTCCAGTTTCTTACACTAGGGAGACAATACAGTGTTTACATATGCAATAGATATTGTGAAAGTGAAAGAAACTGCTCAAAAGGAAAGAACAACTGGGGTGAGGGAAAGGAGAAAAGAAAGAGAAAGAAAGAAGGAAAGAAAGAAAGAAAGAAAGAAAGAAAGAAAGAAAGAAAGAAAGAAAGAAAGAAAAAATATATAGAGACAAGAAAGCTAAGATAGTTGTACTACTAATTTCTATTGGTGTATTGAAAGGAACAGTTAATGCTTAACTTTTTCTAATTTTTAGATCAATTTTGCACGCCTATATCTGGTAATTTGAAAAACTACTTTGAAGATATGCAATATAACAACCGTTGTTGATTTTTCCTATCATCCTTTTTGAAATTCTGTATCTTTTTAAATATTTTTTTAAATTTTTATTCTCTTTAAAATAAAAAAAAAATTTTTAAAGTATTGCAAAAAAGTGGGAGGTGTAAATTGTACAAGTCCAGAGGATGATGTGAGCTGGTCTGGGGAGCATGACACACTAAGATAAAGGATAGTTTAGCTTTTCTACTGCTCTTTAACTAGTTCCTTTCTTTCTCTGTACTTCAGTTTTCTAAGATTATATTGAAATATAATCTTGGAAATATAACCTTCCAAGATTACATTACTGGTGTCACCTACTCAGCTCCTTCCTACAACATGTAGGAGCATGAAGGCTCCACAGCTTTTTGGATCCCCATGGGTTACAGAGGGCCTGGGAGATACCACCTACAGAAATATTTTGAAGTAGATATTCTCATCTCTATTTTGACTTATCTTTTCTCAGAAGCATTTTATACATTGCTTTACCTCTCTCTAATTATTAATTGATAACCAAAAGATACTGGCTCTTAAGGTATGTTAATATAGTTAGCATTTGTTTAAATTACATAGAATGTCATCTACATATGAAGTTTGCATATTTTTGGAACTAAGTTGTTAGGTGCATATTTTGTGCCTGTGAAAATAAGGGTACCCCATGGTTTGGAATGATACTATACTGGCTAATTGTCCTACTCAAAAAATGTGAGATACATACAGATTTACATAGGGCTTTGTTTCTTTTCTCTTTAATCTGCACATGAACCATCAGGGCCAATGTTATGCGTAAGTGAAAACAGGCAGTTACAATTGGGATGATGAAACAGCACAGTAAAGACCTGTCTGTCTTAAAATATTTTTCTTCTGGCTTGCCTTTGGAATAAGACATTATCTTCAGAGTGTTCTATAAAAAGCAATATATTAACAGATAATATACCAGAATCACTTTTTATTACAGGAACTGTTAATTCCCATTTACCATTCAGAATCTAGCAAGGCCATTAGGAAATGAGACCCAGAGACATTTCCAACCGCTAAAGATGATATGAAAAAATGGGGCAGGGTTGGGCTGGGCTGAGCTAGAGGACACTTCCGGCAGAGGGTTTTAAGGCAGAAGGCCCCTGTGGAAGGAAACAGTTAAGAGAAAAATTTCACCCCAAATCTACTTGCTTCCAAGGTCAGTCTAGGGCGGGACCCCTGGAAACAAATGAGAAAGAAAGGTAGTCTTAATTTCCAGATAAAGCCAAATTTCTCTGTAAGATCTCTGAGGCACTTTGTTCTGTCTGACACAGGAAAGACCTGGGATGACACTGCAGGGATCGCAGATACCGAGGCAAAGGAGTTTGCATTTTCCCAAGTTATATAAGCCATATGGTTAGATAAGCTCTTGCCTTTTGCTCATCTACTAAATAAGTATTGAAAAAGCAGCCTAATTACCATCATCAAGTCCTGTGTACATACAAATTCCTTTTACTATGCTTTCAGAGCTTAAAAATGAAGCCACCATTTTTTTCTAGTAATTGCCCCTGACATTTTGCCACTGACCCACTTTACAAAGCAATCAAGTCCAAGTGCTACATTATTTAATCAGAATTCATTGCATTTTAGATGAATGGGGATAGAAGTAAAGATAATGCATTAGGACATTTGTCAGAGTTCATTTTTAGGCTTCTTTCATCTCAAATCTATCACTGAACTTTATCCCTTTTTCCAGTTTATGTTATTAAGCAATGCTATTTTAGTTGCACATAAAAGTACTATTTTATCAGTAACTTATTTCTCTCCTCTTGGGGGGTGGGTGTTGAACCTTAAATGTAGGGCCTTTTCTCAGAGCCGCATCACCAGTCCATTTTTTTATTTTTAAAATAGAATCTTGCTAAATCACTACACTGCTAGGTTGGGTCTGCCCTTGTAATCCTCCTGCCTCAGCCTTCCAGTGCCACGAATACAGGCCCACACCACTAGGCTATGCTCATTTCTCCCTTCTTAATCAAAAAGCAAAAGTGATCACTCTGTTTTTCCATATATAGCAAAGAAAGACTCAGAAATTTTAGAATAAAATTTAAAGTATAAGTTTGTGTCTGGCTAATGTGTTGGCACACAACTGCAATCCTAGCCCTCAGGGAGGCCGAGGCAGAAGAATCCCAACATTGAGTCCTACTGGGCAACTTAGCAAGATCCTGCCCCAAATAATTTTTTTTTTAAATTAAAAACAATTGAGTATGTAGCTCAGTGGTAGAGTACCCCTGGGGACATTGCCACATACACTTCAAAAAAAAAAAAAGCAAGTTCAATATTTCTTTAGCTTGAGTTGTTAAACATAATTATTAGAATTTGATTGCTTTTCTCTTTTTCATAAAGTTTTATTTATTCATTAAAAACAGTTGGCCTTTCATTCATAAATGAGCCATGGGGGAAAAATACAGGTATATCGTTTAGACTGAGGCAAAAAACCTTGATAAAAAATAATTGGTAAATTGGCTCTCTAATCATATTATGCTGGGGCCCTAATATTCAAGAATTGTCTCACAAGCATTAATTGAATAGATCTTGTTCATTTCTGGAAAAACAAGAGTTTTTAATCTCTTTTGCAGGCTAGATTATTATGGTTTAAGTATATTTTGGAAATTTATTCCAACAGTGAAATTGAAAATGTCTGATATTCTCAATTACTTAAAGCATTTATGATTTTAAGCTCCCAGCAGAAGCCTGCAGCTGCAAGGGGAGAATTAAGAGCGGTAGAAAGACACTTATGTAAGAACTGTCACAACGGCTATTGGTATAAAAGCAGGAAGCCTTGTATTTTAGACTCAGAGCTTTAAGGACTCTTTATTGAACATTTTCCCCTCTCGGGGGTGATGAGTGAAATCTTGAGATTGTTCACAGTTTTTCTCTTTTATTCTATTGCAGCCCAGAAGATGGGGAGATACATCCAGAAATCTGTCGGCTTTACATACAGCTGCAGTGCTGCTTAGAAATGTACACGACAGAGATGCTAAAATCCATTTGTTTGCTGGGTTCCCTTCAGTTTCATCGAAAAGGTATCTGCATGTGGTGGACTGCCAGAAACACTGAGAAATTTATTTACACACAATTAGAATGAATTTAACTGTTGAGGAAATATTTGCGATATGAATTAATAAAAAGGCCATAGCCTTGCTAAGTATATAAGAACAGCAATAGTCTTGAACAGAAATGATGGCAGGAACGGTTCCTAAATTTATTACTTTACTGCTTGTGAACATAACTTTTATTAGACGCAGCATAAGTACCAAAAGTATATAATGATCTTACTAGGATAGTAAATGCTTTCTAAGAGTCCTGCTGTTTCTCTAAATGAACTGAGTTGCAAGAAGACAAATTACATATTGTCCCCAAAATTTAAAAACTAGAGAAGCTCAACAAATAATAGGGAAGTATCCGACTAATAGCAAAAATTTCATTCCCTTGTTTAACCCAGAAGGGAATATATTGGCTCCTATGACTGTTCTCTCTAGAGGTGGCTGTGGCTTTCACAGGGTTTGATCAGACTGATTCCAATTCTTTATAATGTTCTGCCTTCTGACACCGGCTTTCCTCTCAACCTGGTTGACCCCACCACAGTAAACCTATCATAACGTTCCAGTCAGCCAGTCAGTACACCACAGTATCCATAAAAAGAGTACTTCCCCCAACTTTAGAGCAAAAATCCTTAGCTTTGCTCTGGTTGGAACAGCTCCATGTCTGAACCATAGACGGACAGAAGCCCACGGATCGATTTAGGCAATCAAGGCCTATTCATGGAGCTGGAAGTAGAGTCAAATCAACCCACCAGGGCTACTATCTGATGGGAAAGGGTAAAATGAGATGGATTCTGGTGAGGAAGCTGAATGTTTCCATTAATGAAGAATGTGACACACATTTTCTTTACTAATTTATTGAACAGTAATTTATTGAGAACCTCTTGAATACAAACTTTTTGTGCATAAGCTCAGGAGAATAACATGATGCATAGAAGGTAGTCCTAACAGGTGATTAAGATTCAGAGATGGAAAAGTTCAATGAATGCTAGGAAGGAAAAAAAATATTTCAGATGAAGATGCAATAAAAGATTTGAAATCAGATGAGCATTGTAATTTGGGGAGATCAAAATGATGTGATAAACCAGTTGCAAAAATCAAATCTTATATACATACGTATGTACATCTATGCAGTACTAAAAACAGTATTATGTTACATTGCTCCAAAGACAGGAGAACATTTTCTCAATATATGAATATTATTTATTTTTCATTTTTCCTTCTAAAGGTTGATCTTCCAAGGAGTCTATCTTTACTTTTGCTATTAATGCAAGAGAATGTGTTTGGAGAGATTAGCTCCTTGATACGCCTAATGCATGACCAAAAAATTGAATACTCAGACACATTCATGACATCCCAACAAGTGTCACTGACCCGATGTCTGTCTGTCTGTGTCTGAGTGCCCCCCCAACACACACACATTCACAAACACCTATACAGAGTAGTATGTTCATTCTTTTTAATGACTGGGTATAGGTAAATTTATTCCCCCAGTCTTCACTGGCTACACCTGCAGAATCTCTGCCCCTGCTACCACTTGAATTTTTCTTGCTGATGACGAGTCCTTAACTCTAGGGCCTCCGTTCCCACTCTTGTTCTTGGACTGTGGCCTGATCTTCTTCTGCCAGCCTCTCCTACTTTTCATCTTTTCACAATTGACTTTTGAAAGGAAAACGCCTCCCTGGTAGCTCTATGCTCAAGAGGGATTCCCTTATCCAGATTGCTTCCTTGTTGTGTTTGGTTTTAAGAACACAAATAAAAAGAACACTGCCTCTTAACGGATCAGCTTGCTTGGTTGTCACTGCTGCCTAACTTCTCTGTCAGGCTCTGTTCTGTCTTTAATTTGCCTCTTCTTTTAAAATAATTGAATAAGGCTGGGGGTCAGCTTAATGACAGAGCACTGGATTCAATCCCTAGCACCGAAAAAAAAATTAAACCCTTATCCACTGCTGTAGTGCTTACCTTTGCACAGCTCTTCAAAAGAAAATACCTGACAGCATCTCTGATCCCTTCCATATATAGGAATAAGTCCCCACCTGGATTTCTCATTTAAGCTTCTATAATCATGACCTAATGTGAAAATGTTGGAAAATCTGCTTCAAAATTATCCGTCCAGGATGCTGGATAAACACACAGATACAGAATCCTACCCAAGGACCTCTGAATCTGAATCTCTGGGAGCACTTTCGATGTTTCTGAACCACAGTGTGGACTGGGAACTGCTGTGCTACCCTCTGGGAAAAAATAACTCTTTCCCCAATATGAATAAAAATGAAAACTCCCAAGCCATTATCCTGTCATTCTTGTTTGCTACTCCCCACTCCTCTAATTACCTGCTTTCAACACTGTTTTGTGCTTTCTTCTCTTTTCCCACATGAAAGAAAAGCAAATGCAAAGTGGTAGATGCTTCTAAGGAGGATGAGGTGTGTTAGGGCTCAAGTGGCCATCTTCTCCATGGATACATGGCAAGACCATTGAAAGGGGCAATGGTCCTCAAACTACAGTCTCAGAACTAGCAGCATCAGCATCTGAATCATTTGTTAAAAATACAAATATTTGATTCTCACCCCAGACCTACTCAATAAGTAGGGGAAAATATCAAAAGACTATTTCATGAAATAGTTTGTAAGTTGAATATGTTTGTAACCACCTGATGGCCATCTGTAATCAAAAACTGTGCTTACCTACTCTTCTGGGGAGTATGTATGTTCCATATACTCCTGACAAGCCTCTTGTATTAATAAAACACACACTCAAGAGCTAACTGTCCTGTGGAATTTTACTTTTGTCCCCAGCACCTATAGAGTTCAGGCAATGAGGAGAAGATGGCTTGTTTATTGGTAAGATAGTTTCAAGTAGCCTATGAGTAAAGAAAATAGTAATATATAAGATCAAAAACTATGTCAAAGATAGAGATAAATCCCTTGCAATAGGCTCCATGGAAAATGTCATTACTGAGGAAAATAAAAAATATATACAAAAACATATAATAGACAAATTTCCTGGAAATTTCTGGAATATTAAGTAAAATGCAAGATCTTAGAGAATGGTTTATTTCATTAATCATTTAGGTTTTCTAGTCCTATGTTTTTAATACCTCCTTTCTACTTCTTTATTCCTTCTGTCAATTTCTTCATCACACCTAAGAGATTGTAATACTATGTTGGACTTATGACTTGTTTGTTCTGTATTCCCAGTCACACTTCTAGCACTAGGTTAGCACCAAAAATATCAGCTGGTGTCACCAGGCTTTGCTTTTCCTTTGCTGTCACTGGAAACTGTAGAGTAGTAGCTTGTCTGTTTCCATAAGCTTTGAGCCAATGCACAGGAAGTACATGAAACCTGCTGCTGACTTCCGTGGGAGATTCTGGTCAAAAAGAATGGAAATATTTTGTTGCAGTGGCCATAGACTGCCTGAAATGAGTTGAGAAAGAAATTGGTCCACACACTACAGCCAAGAGTACTAAACTTTAAGAGAATAATTGAGAAAATTAAGACAGTAACATGTATCTTGCTCTTGAAGTATGGAGTCCCTACCCTTAAAAATAGACCTAGAAAAGTCAACAAGCCTGGGACATCTTACAGAAGCATGGGAAAGCAAGGCAAATAAATGCTTCATCATTATGAAAACAAGAAATGCGGAAGGGAGGGGAAGGCGGGCTCTGCTGTTGTGACTTACCAAGACACTGAGTCAAGACGTGTGACTAAGGACAAATAAACGTGCTCCAAATGAACAGTGAAGGTGGAACTGAACTGAAGGTGACTGCAAATCTCAGGTGAGTTGGTAGAGATGACAAGATAAAGCAACATGAATCAAGAAATCGTCTCATTTCCTCAGGACTGATATATGTATATTATATATTTTGTATATAATTAATCTCTATGTCATATATAAGCAAGAGGACCATTTATCCACTAGAAAGGAGTCTATCTACTGATAGGTCTGTCTACTGACAGACTAGTTTTATAAGATAATATACTTTTTAATCCAGAAAGTGGTGCCTCTGCTGTGGCTTCAGGCTAGGGAATGAGCCTGTCTAAGTGGACCTTGCCAACCCCTTCTTTGGGAAATCAGACAGTCCTCTGGCTCTCAGGAAACAGCGACTTTCCTTCAAATTTGTAACCCTCAAACTCTCTTTCTGCTTGGAATTTCTGTCTGGTTTGTTTCTTATAATGATATAGGAAAGGTTGCTATTTTAATAACATTTAGGCAAGCTCATTTTTTTCCTTCTGTGTGTGTTAGCTGTTCCTGCTCTCCTCTTTAGCTTTGATTTTCCATCAAGGTCACAAAAAGATTGTAATTGAATCCCTAACCTTGACTATCTGAGAGTCTCTGGTTAGTTTTTCATTGGGATTAGATACTGAGCCAAAATTCAAATTCTTTCACAGTAATCTGTGTGGTTAATTTATGTTTATATCTGTATACCTCCCTGGCTGCCACCAGAAGTCCAAATAGTCCAAATATGTTACTTAGTTTTACTACTGTATTGAGCAAACGTGACATGAGTTTACTCTGAAAAGAAAGAGCACAAGAGGTCACTGTAGGCATGGAAAATATGGTTTCTTCTAAAAAAATAAGCCTCAAATAACTTTGAAGCTCCTGAAGGGAGTTTGAATTTAGTAATAAAGATTATCCTTCTCTCCCAATTAAGGAAATTCTAAGTATCCTTAGTGCTTAGTGATCTCTCCAGTGGGTCTTCATGCTTCTCCCATGGACCATGCTGCTGAACTTTTGCTGTCTCATAAATTTGATTGGTACAGCCTACTTGGAAATCTTTTATACTTTGTAACATCATACCATTGCAGGAGAAATAAAGAAAAACATTACTAAAATGATTTTCCTTTTTCATGATTGACAAAATTAAAGTAAATCACAGTGATGGGAGGTAAAGCCTACATTTAATAAAGACTATGGGTTATTACAGGTAGAGAGGGGTCATGAAAAGCTGCGTTTGTATAAGAGGACAGGTGGGAATCATTGT